TTAAGTCATACTACACACACACACACACACACACACACACACACACACACACACACACCCTGCACCCCCAGGAGGCTGCTGGAGGGGTGCCTCATCAGTGCCACCACACCCGACGCCTCCCAGGCCCCTGGCCTCCTTGGAAACGGAACCAGAAGTGACAGCTCCTCTGGCTGACCTGCCTCTAGGATCCAGAAACCTGGCTGAAAGTGATTCCGCCCACCCTCAGCCTCACCCCGGAGCAGGCTGAGAGGTAACTGTGACATCAGGCAAAGGGAAGGAACTGGAGGAAGTGGCCGGCGGCGCAATCTCCCCTCTGCCAAGAGGCTTTGCCCACAAACTGCCACAGTGACGGGTGCAGCCTGCCCCTGCCGGGCTCCAGGGCCTCCAGCCTTTCCCTCAGCAGCCCGAGGAGACACAGTCCCTGTCCCCAGAACCTGGGTCCCAACCCCTACCCCTGCACAAGGCCTAGGTCCAGAGCTGGGAGCACTATGTTCAGGGCCTGTGGCTGCAGGTTAAACAGGTCGCCTGGGTCAGCTTGACACCAGATCAGTGGACCGTGCCGTCCACCCTCTGAGCCCATCAAATCCTCCTGTCAATACTCTTGACTCTGGACACCACGCCCTCCTCCGTGCCAGTCAGGCTACCCATCCCAGCTAAGGGGACTTCCCTTTCCTACTTGGCAAACTCCTTCAAGAGTAAATGTCACCCTCTCTGGGAAGGCCCCTCGGTCGCCCCTGATAGAACGCCTGTGCTACTACAGAATTCCACCCCAACCCCGGTTAAAGTGGCCACCGCCCTCCCCGCTTTTCTGGAGGATGGGTACCTAAGCACAGCACTCGATCAAGGATAACGGGCTCAGCTGAATGAGCGGAATACCCGGCTGTAAAGCGAACAGTGCGGCTGGATGGATTCTAACTGTACAGACTTGGGTGGCTGAGCTGACGTCCATGTGACCTTTCACCCAGCACGCAGGAGGGAACCTGTTCCGCCGGGGTGCCTCTTGCCTGTCTGGAGGCGTTGGAAGTGTGGTACCTGTCTCCCCCAGAAGCACAGTGACTGGAAGCAGAGTCTAGATTCGGGGTTGAGGGAGGGACAAATCTGTGCAAGTCCTACACAGTCCTGGCAGGAACTGGGGTGCGAATTCAAAGCTAGAGTCCCCCCCATTCTGCAGCCCCCACTGCGTACACCCACCCCAGGCCATTCCTCCACCTATGCCCACCCTGAGCAACCTTTCCCACTAAATGACATCTCATGAAATCAAGATGTAGACCAGGATGCCGCTCATCACCTCTTCCCGCATTAGAATGGGAACACATTCCTCCGCCCCCTCCCTACCGCAGCTTTGGAGATGCCTAGGGGAGATATGAATGACAAGGCCCTTCCAGAAACTGGCCAGGGGCTCGCGGGGCCTCTGCCTTCTCCACCTCTACAGCCACTGGGCTCCTCGCACTAAATCAGTGCCTCAACTGTTTGTGGCCCTCACTAGACAGAGTCTATTCTCCCTGCCCTCCCCCAGCCTCCTCTGGCATCCCCCAGAAGGAAGCTGGACCTCCCTCTCCCTGATACCTCCTGAGGAGTTCTCCAAGGCATCTGACAGAATGTTCTCGCCACACACAGCGCAGCACCAGAACTCCCGATGGGGGGATGGCAGAACTCTTTACAATGGCAGCTGGAAGAACTGAGGTGTCTGAGGAGGAGGTAGCTTATGGTACAAGGCATTTCGAGAAGGGTGCGACATGGAGCTGGGGGCCGGGGAGCCCATCCTTCCCAGCCATCACCTTTCCCTCCATCTGTGTTCTCCCTAACTCCCAGAAGCCCCCAGGGCAAAGAAGTCTACAACGTCAGTGAGAAGTATTTCTGCACTGTACTGTGCATTGAAGGAAAAGACTCTTCAGGGACCCGCGACCTAAAAGGTCCCTCCTCACCTCATCCCATCTCTGCTCTCAGGTCCCTGCTGAGGGACAGGGAGGACCCCGAGGGACAAGGTGAGGATGGCTGATATGAGCCGAGCTGTATTTCGATGTGAAGATTCTGAATGCTAGACACAAGAGATGTGCAGCGTCACCAACGTCCACCATTGCCGGAGGCGGAAAGGCCAGCCAGTTGAAGTATACAGGAATAAAAAGAGATCTGAGGGAAACACTCGGCTGCGGGCCGGAGTCACAAGGACCGAGGGGAAGGTGTTGGCCGAGGTGGGTGAGCAAGATACCCTGGGGTCCCTGTAAGGACATGGTGGGCCCCAGGGAGGGAGTATATACCCTTCAGTGTCACACCTAGGCCCTGAGAGACAGTCCCAGGCAGACACAGATACACACAGAATGAAGAGGCAAAGATGGATGAAGAGAGGTGGGGCATGTGGAGACACAGGCAGACAGACTATGGCAAGGAGAGGCACACAGACAGGGAAAAAAAAATCTTGGTCCTCTTGGTTCCATCTAGTGGGGCCTGACTATGCAGCTTGTCTTTGGGGTTCACGATGGACCCACGAATGCTGAGACAATTTTTCCTTGGGCATGGAGTCAGTCTGAGGTTTCTACCACTTGCTACTGAGAGACACCTGGGGCATCAGGTTCCCCCCTTCACGTAGTCAGGGGTGCCAGGTGATATGGAAGGAGCAGAAGGTGGTCCCCAGCGATCTTAGGAAGAACTACCCAGCAATCCTGTCTCTAGACTCAGCCACAGGAGGGTGGCAGAGCGCGGGTACAGAGGGCCCTCAGATGAGCAGCTACAGAAGGCAAGCCAACAGGGCCAGCCTTGGGGAGACTAACTTCTAAAGCTCTCTCTCCCTCCCTACGACTGCTATTCTGCTATATGGACATGGTATGAAGCTGACTGACTCCAAACACCTTACGGTTTTACGCACAGATTAATGCCTCTCTCAACCCTCATCGGAGAGGCTTCCGTGTGTGGTGGTCAATGGTCGACAGAGAGAATGAGAGCGCGTGGAGCTCTGGGTCCTAAATGGGCGTCTACCGCACCCACCCACCCACCCCACCCCCCCGCCCCCGATGCTCAGGGTCATTGCAGAAGAGAGAATGGAACGTGTAAGTGCCGGGGGCGGTGGAGGACCACAGCGTTTGCAGCACACATCTGGGCAGCTGTGCACATGAACCCAGGACAGTCGTGGCAGCGCTCGAAAACCCTCGGCGAGCTCTAGACAGACAGGAGGACCCCAGCACAGAGAGGGGAGGCAGACGTGAAGTTCCACCCCAGCCCTTGAGAAGCCACCCTTA